CTCAAAACGGTTCAATTTGATTGGCGGAAGCGTCGCTTAGTCCCAATTGAAGATTTCCACGAAGTCATAACAATTATTCCATTAGTTGATGAGCCTGACACCAATACATTTGTGCCAAACGATGGAATTGAATGGAACACCAMTGCATKYTGSTGTATTTTTCCAGAATTTAGTTCAAAGTTACCGGTACCACTTCCGGGCACAAACTGGGGGTTTTCTCAAGCAAAACTTCTTGAAAATTGTGCGTGTAAATAGTCTTGTGGTTGACGTTTTTCCACTACTCAATTCCTTATGCAAGCACAATGCGGCCATGGACTGTTTGGATAATTCTTCAAGCGCATCATTAAGCTTTAAGCTTCCCGTTCATCAAGTCAATAAAAGTCACCGCGAACTGATGTTGTTGGGATTAAGGCGGAAAACTGAAACCGAGAAACAAAGCAGCCACTATATCTATCTTAAGAAGCATTCAGCCGATCGTGAGCGCGAAGACATTCCAGGCCAGGCCCTGTCGACACCATTCATCACCATAGTGCCCCTCTTTGATAAGGCACGACCTTTTTTCCTTCGAATTCCTGCGTTTATTGACACTCTGCCCCCGAACAAATGAGTACATCTGGACTGTTTCGGTTCACCACTCTTTAACAGCTAGTTGCAGACAGTTTGTGAGGACGATATTGGTTTGGGACAAAATGATAGAATTACCTGGTGGCACTCCTAGACCGATGATGGGTGGTACCAACGGACATCGGCCTGCCTCGCTCCTCCAACATCGGATCCTCCAAGTCCTCGTCCCGATAGTAGGAATGGTAGGAAGTGTAGCCCGTGTGGTCGGGCGAATTGTTGCCAGATCGGGTCTGGCGGACGGGTTTGCGCCCCAACGGGCTCCCCCCTGGGTATGCCCTACTGGGCGATCGGTCCACGGTGGGCAGCCTCACGCCCCTAGGGGAGCGGGAGCCCCCCACGTACGCGTCACGGGACATTTCATGACATTCTGCAAAGAAAAAAATGGGCAATCCTCGTAAAATTGAAGCTGCAAAAATGTAGTTTTTTCTCAGTGTTCAAACGGGTTTATTTTAAAGAGTTTTTGTAGTGATAACTTTTCACTCCGGCCTCTTCGCGCCTGAGCCCTGAGACTTTGAATTCGACATGTTTCTCTTAGTGCGGGTGCATCTGTAGATCTGATAAACTTTTCAAATACGCATTGCGTTATTAAACTGACAGTAATTTTAATATATTAATTATTGAGTGTGATATTATTGTGTTCGGTGCAGTTTACTTTATAACGCTGATGACAATGAATCAGCAAATTATCAAGGGAGAAGCTGCAGATACTGCAAATACTAGGTTAATGCCCGGTTGCACCGTTTGACTAAACAGTGATTAAAAATTTAATCGTCGTTTAGTTTGAAAAATGTGTTGTACCGTCGCTTAACCACTGTTTTGTGTATTCTAAACAACGATTATATTAACCGGCACTTTTTGGCTGATTAACACCCGATTAGAGACCGTTTAGTATATTTTCTTGATTTTTTTTTATTACGGTGACAAAAAAAATTAATATAAACACCCAGTTTAATGTCAAAGGAGATTAAGTTTTTTCTTCTCAATTTAGTTCAATTTTTTTAGTAGTGGATTAGTTCAGTTAGACATTTTCTTTTGAACATACGCGCGATGGCTTACATTATGTACACATATAGTGTGTCAAGTGTATCCTGTCTCTATAGCTCTTCCTCGTTTTACCGTATATTTCAAACAGATAGAACGTCTTCAATCACCAAAATTAATTGATTTTTTAGTCCTATTC